AAAAAATTAAAAAGTACAACTAAACAACTAAACGATATGTAAACGTGTGTACAAATCAATATAAAATGACAGTAATTGTTGACAAAATCGCCCATAATGAGCGATGTTTTCCATTTCGATTGGAAAACTCAGAGACAAGCAACACGCAACAAATTTCTTTGATGTCATGCCGCCCAACATTGACGAGTATCCATCAACTTTTAACCAGTTGCTGAGATACATGTTGACAACACGTTGCCAACAAAATGTTGCTTGGTCTGTGCGTACCTTAACATCATATTATATGCTGATATCCCAGATASCAAAAAAATATTTTAATGACATCAAAAACTATTAATTTKTTAATATGATTTTATAATTATTAGGATTTCATCATATTCTGATTAAAATTATGTTATTTTAATAATTATATATTGTTACTTGGCCACTAGTCACTAGTCTGACGATACATGAATGATACAATTATGATGTTAATTTATGATTTTGTTTTAAATGTCATATGAACATTTTTTTGATACATTTTAATAATACTACCCTTTAACCATAAATTAATATTATTTATTTTATATAAATTTGTTGTTTTAAAAGAATCATTTTTAAATTGTTATTTTTCAAACTATTATTTAATGATATTTATCTTAAATTAATTTGATGTTATTTTAGAAATATCTTAAAATTATTATTTTTTAATATAATTTTGATGGTAATTTAAATATATTAAAATTAATTTTTTATTTTAATATTATTCATAAATTTGATATTCCCAGACAACAAAATAATGTTATTCTAACACGATTTTAATATTATTAAATTAACAAAAAAGTGATTATAATATTAATTTCAGATTAACAGAAAATTATTTAATGTTATCATAACATTATTAGCAAAAATTTTTTGGTCAACTTTTTCAGGTTCTATAAACATTACATKATAACATTATAGTAATGTTAAAAATAACGAATGGCGGACAATTTCCCCCTGACTGTTTTTGGCGTAGTAGGACATTTTCC